TGTATTCCCTACACACAAGGACATTTGCCTCATGACCACACGGAGCCATTCAAATGAGGAAATTAACATTGATACAGCACCATGGTCCCATCCACAGATCTCATTTAGGCATCACCAGTTTTCCCAGTAAGGCCCTTTAGAGCAAAAGGATCCAATCCAAGATCACAAGTTGCTTTTATTTGTCCTGCCTCTTGAGTATTCTTCATTCTGGAACGCTTCCTTAGTTTTTCCTTGATATTGTGACTTTGACACTTCTGAATATTAAAGGCTAATTATTTTGAGAACTGTTCCCCAACTTTAACTTATCAGCTGTAACCTTGTGATTAGATTCGGGTTTTGCATTTTTGGGTAGAAATACCACAAAAGTGATGCTCTGCACGTCTCACTGCATCCTGTCAAGTGGAACACGATTTCAATTTGTCTTATTCCAGTGTGTTTGATGACTTGATTAATCGGTGTCTGCCAGGTTTCTTCACTCTGAAGTCACCTTATTCCCTTTGTCATTAATAAATATTTTGGGGGGAGATTATTTGAGACTAAGTAGGTATCCTGTTTCTCCTTAAACTTTAATCCACCAATTTTATCATCCATTGATGTTTCTTGGCTGCTTTAATTATTACTGTGATTGTTGCCAAGTGGTGATTCTGTGGTTGTCTTATTTCTTTTACATTTATTGATTGTCATTCTACTGAAAAGAAAAGCTTTTTATTCTTTGAATTTATCCAATTATTTTTATATCATGGGTTCTAATCATGACTGTTATTATTTATTTTCATCCCTCAAATTTCCCCAGTTTTGGCCAGTAAGAGCTATTTCCACGTGACTTTTTGTATCCATGCAACCTCATAATTCTTTGAGAATTTTCTTAATTTCTGGTACAGCAAAGTGTTCCAGGCTTATCTTGTACTTTTCTTGTATCCAGCTCTACAATTAGCTATTTCTGGAGAGTAGTACTTTAGGAATCCAGATCTGGTTGCTACAATTGCATTATTAGCAGAATGTCACTCTCCCAGCCCACTCTGAGAACAGAGCTGGGGAAAATATGTATGTCTATACATATGTACACTTACCTATATTGCTGTCTGTATTTCTTTCTAGTTCTATCTATCTAAATTTCTATCTATCTATCATCTTATCCATGGGTTTGCACCCATACCTCCAATCCTACTCCAGTTCCACAAGGCTTTTTTTTTTTTTTGCGGTACACGGGCCTCTCACTGTTGTAGCCTCTCCCATTGTGGAGCACAGGCTCCGGACGCGCAGGCCCAGCGGCCATGGCTCACGGGCCTAGCCGCTCCGCGGCATATGGGATCTTCCCGGACCGGGGCACGAACCTGCGTCCCCTGCATCGGCAGGCGGACGCTCAACCACTGCGCCACCAGGGAAGCCCCACAAGGCTTATTTTAATTTCTTCGCTTTTCATAGCTGTCTCTTTCCCCATAGTGAGGAACATGGATTCCATTATCTTCAATACATTCACTTATTCGTTGATCAAATGTAATCAATCTCCAATTGCAGCCAGGCAGGAACCCCACTGCCTGTCTACTTTCACTCCCTCCCCTACCGCAGATGCCCACATAGCCTGACTTGGCTCTGAAACTGTGCCCTGGCTGGCACCTCCTCGCCTCTGGGGTGGAAGCCCTCCTCGCCCTGCCAGGCTTCAACGCCTGGCACCGAGCTGCCACCCCCGCCATTGTCCCCACAGATGCCCTCTGTTCCCTGATTTGATTCCACCCTGTGCTAAGGTGCACCAGTGCCCTGCACACACTCACACTGATGCCTGCATTGCTTCATCCCACCTGATGGTTTTGGACTAAACTTAAGGCAGGTAGGGAGGCAGGTAGAAAGGAGGGTAGGCAGGCTAATACTTTATTTTTTAAATATTTAGGTTGTTTCCAATTTGGGGCTATTATAAACATCTTTCTTATTACAGATCATATATTTTTAAAAACATAAATCTGCTGTATAGTTGTTTCCTTTCTTACCTCCTGAGGCCCTGAATAAAGTTGGTATTCTCAGCTTCTTTCTCTGCAAACTTCTATTTATCTATTAAAACCTTAGAAAGATACTAGACTTATAATATATTGTTTGGATGGAGGTAAGATGGAGTGAATAGCATATCCCTTAGTAAGATTTTAGTAAATAATTCTATCAGAGTCTTCTATGAAACAATTTACCCTTAATTATTTTGCCTCTGCAGACTCAACAATCCAAAATGTTAATTTTTTCTATTTCCATAATAGAATACCCAAACTCAATTCAGTCAGTTCAATTTTTTTTTAGTGTCAAAATAAATCAAGCTGATTATTTGATATCAAATTCACCAATATTATTTAGCATTATTTAAATGAACGCCTGGGAAGTTCATCCTTACTTAAATGCCATAGAACTGTAGAGGAAGTGGTCATATATTATTTCTAGTTTTCACTCTCTTTGTTGTTCCTCTTTTTATTTGGTAGGAAGAATTCACCTCAGGGAAACATACTCTAGAAACTCCCAGGAAAAAAACATTGACATCAACAAGTCATTTCCCAGTTTTTATTCATTTTTTTCTTACTAATATAAGATATATTATGACATTATATTAGAACATAACATCTTACCAGGAATTTAATTTCTTTGGAAATGTATGAACTTAGAATATTTTTCATCTGAGGGTCCTGGTTTTATGCAAATTTCTATTCACACTGTTCCCCACCATTCCTTACATTTTGTAGGTGCCAGCTAAGTGTGTAATGTTGTTACTCTGGAATTAATGATGAGTGAGTTAAAAGGAATGACTCATTCTCACTTCAAATCCCTTTTGGATGAATCCAGTGTAAATAAATCTGCACTCATGAAAATCTGTTCCATGGACTATAGGTCTCAAGAGGCTGTCTGCAAAAAAATAAAAGGGGGTTTAAAGGAGAATTACATGATAAAATAAATGTTGAAAATGCTATTTCTAATGTTCCTTCTTTACAATTCATGAAGCATATTAGCATAAAACAGACTCCAGGAAGTACAGAAATCCTTCTTTGAAGGATTAAAATCCTTCTTAATCCAGAGTTTCTCAGATACTGGCCCCATGTCAGTGTGTGTGGACGTATTTATGTGCATAACACCCCACCAACAATGCAAGCAGCTGGGATGCACACACACACTTTGCCCAATGCCGACTTTTATGAGTGGTATAATGTGGCTGATTGTTTGCAAACTGCGAACTCGTGTTAGAGGAGAATCTGTCCATTGTTGCCTGTTGCTACAGAATCACACCAGATGATTTGGTCTGAAAACAGTCTCTCACAACACAGGGAGGATTTTCAAGTACCTAGATGAAAACTGAGAGGCAATTACTTAAAGATCAAAGGCAAACTTGTGTTTCATTTTAAAATAGGACAGAAATAGAAAAACAAAAATAAGTTGTGATAGCTCTGGGCTTCACTTGTTTCATTCTTTTTTCAGCTGGGCACCAAAGAAGGTTACCTCACCAAACAGGGGGGGCTCGTCAAGGTAAGGAAGCACATTGCTGCCAGCCACAAAGAAAGAGAGCACGCCATGGGGGCTCAACCCTCATTTTGACTTTTTAAAAAGCAGAACCTACTTATTTTGACCCAGTTATAATATTTACTTGTTTCCAGAGTTCATCTTTATGGCCAATATTAGTCAAAATTCTGGAAAATGACTTGACTATTCTTTGGCAAAGACAAATGTATGAGAATAGCCTACATTTAATACCCAAGAAAACATATAATCCTTTTGATGCAATGACTGAGGATGAACGTAGCGTTAACTCTAGCACATATCTTGGGCTTTTAAGATTTTTTGACAAAAAAGAAGTCAAAAGTGGATGAAATGTTTACCTAACAGTAGACCCCAAAAGACCCGTCACTGACATGCATGTAGCTATATTATGAAATCCCAAAGAAAACAAAATTTAGGACTTTACTAGTTGGGGGGGTATCCTCTATTTATGTGATTGTACCTTTAAAGTTACTCTATTCCATTTTCACGTGCCAAGAAGACCTTCATGGAATGTGTCTGTTCTTTCCCATTTTAAGAGTCAGGACACTTAACCTCTCAAGGATATTGGCCTGCTTGAATTTAACCTAAGTATTTAGTTATTTGTGTCCCTACTGGACTGGATGCTCCCTAAGGAGAGGAAGTATTCATGTTCATAGCATTATGTTTAAATCCAGTTACTTCTTTTAACCGGGAACATTGCCACCCAACATCATTAGTGTTCTGTTAGTACATAAGAAAGAGGCAGCTGTTTTTCCACCAATGTCATGGAATTCTTAGGCAAGGTTTAGAATAGCATGTGCTTGAGCTTCCTACACCTCAATCTGCTTATTTGTAAAACAAGAATAATAATATTGGGTTGGCCAAAAAGTTCGTTTGGGCTTTTCCATAGGCTAGTAGAAAACCCCGAACGAACTTTTTGGCCAACCCAATATTTGGCAATGTATGGGGACTGGCTATAATGTATATAAACCTCCAAGGATAGTATGTAGCCCTCAGTAGGTGCTGAACAATGATATCTATTTTTATTATGGAGTTTTATTAAGATTATTAAGTCTTACTCAGATGGAAATTTCAGCGGTTTGTTGTAAATCACCTTGAATGTTTATGACAGGTTATTTCTTCTTGTTTAAAAATGTTGATATCTTTGCCTTCGTTGTGAGCTTAATGCATGGAATCATTTTAATTTTTGAAACTTTAAAATTTTAAGTTTTATTTTGAAAGATTTTCCCTCAGAAACAACACCGCAAGAATATTTTATTGTATCTAATCTTTTAGGTATTTTTACAACAAACGGAAATTATCTAGTTCAAATATCGTGGTCCTGTATTCAAAACCTACATGTTTTAATTTTTTTTTTTCAGACCTGGAAAACGAGGTGGTTCACTTTGCACAGAAATGAACTGAAATACTTCAAAGACCAGATGGTAAGAAACATTGTCATATATTTTCCCTTTAAAAATGAACCCTGTACCACTATGGAGAACACTACAGAGGTTCCTTAAAAAACTACAGATAGAGCTACCATATGACCCAGCAATCCCACTGCTGGGCATATACCCCGAGAAAACCATAATTCAAAAAGAGTCATGTACCACAATGTTCATTGCAGCTCTATTTACAATAGCCAGGACATGGAAGCAACCTAAGTGTCCATCGACAGATGAATGGATAAAGTAGATGTGGCACATATACACAATGGAATATTACTCAGCCATAGAAAGAAATGAAATTCAGTTATTTGTAGTGAGGTGGATGGACCTAGAGTCTGTCATACAGAGTGAAGTAAGTCAGAGAGAGAAAAACAAATACCGTATGCTAACACACGTATATGGAATGTAAAAAGAAAAAAGTGGTTCTGAAGAACCTAGGGGCAGGACAGGAATAAAGAGGCAGATGTAGAGAATGGACTTGAGGACACGGGGAGGGGGAAGGGTAAGCTGGGACGAAGTGAGAGAGTGGCATGGACTTATATATACACTACCAAATGTAAAATAGATAGCTAGTGGGAAGCAGCCGCATAGCACAGGCTTGGTGCTTTGTGTCCACCTAGAGGGCTGGGATAGGGAGGGTGGGATGCAAGAGGGAGGAGAAATGGGGATAAATGTATATGTATAGCTGATTCACTTTGTTATACAGCAGAAAATAACACAACACTGTAAAGCAATTATACTCCAATAAAGATGTTAAAAAAAAAAAAAAAAAGAGCCCTGTAGATGAAATGTCTGCCTTCAAAATCCCTGAAATTTTCTTATGAGCACCTGAAACATCCTATAAACGATTGGAGATGTGAATTCTTGATTCCTGATATGAGCAGTGTTCTTTTGCAAAGACGAGATGTGTATCCCAGACACGGCTCTCTCAGGCTGGCTAACCTCTAGCTCACTGAGGACATCATTCCCTCCGTCTAAGGCAATGGAATTGTTCTCTTGCCACAGTATTAACTGTCTCTTGCAGCAGTGTCCCCCTTTATTAAAAATATGTCCAATTTCTCACGCCGATTTCATTAAACAAATTTAAAATTATTTTAAATTTGTTTAATTAAATTTGATGAATTAAAATTATTTCATCTCTTCTCATCTCTCCTACACAAAATTTCTGAGTAAGTGGATGTTTAAAAACATGGGAGACAAATATGACTCCCTTCCACGTGTTAAAAATCCATCTCCACCAAATTTAAATTGACAAATAAAATCTCTTCCTAATGTCCAGTTTCATGAAAAGCCAATCCCCAGATGAGCATTTGACTTCCCTTAGGAAGGTTTTCTATAATCAGTCCCCGTAGTGGAAGGAAAGTTGACAGTTGCTCATAGTGGAGACTTGTTAGGGGAACAAGTGATGTACAGATTTGTATGTGTGTTCTTATGATACAATTTGCCATTTTATTTTATTTTTTTAAGTCACCAGAACCAATTCGGAGCCTAGATTTAACAGAATGTTCGGCTGTACAATTTGATTATTCACAGGAAAGGGTGAACTGTTTTTGGTAAGTTGTTTTATAAAGTAAATGTTTTTAAAAGTCTTCTTGCCAGACAGTTTAGCAGAAGAATAAAAAATTGTATGTCTTAATGCGTACAAATGTTCTGATCCTAGGCAAGTGGGTTTAACTGTCACACGCGGCATGTATGTCAGAAGTGCCTTCAGCCGAGTGTGACATAATACCACATTTAAAGTGACTTAAACAAGTAGGAAAATCTCCTGTATAATTGTTTAGGTTGTACACTGCACAAGTATGATGCACTGCACAAGTAGGATGCCATTCACATCTTAGACAGCTTTTATTCCTTTGAGGTGTTTTATTCAATTTCAATTACAACCTTGTTGACTCCAACAATGAGTGATCTGTATAATGATGACAATTCTGGCAGATGGCACAAAAGTGTTTTGTTCTGTCACAATCAGTATATCATGACAATTTTCTAACTGGGAGAAGTAAAGTATCTTGAGAAAAGAGTGTCTCATTTCTCACCCTGAACTAGTTGAAAGTAAGTTGCAGACATCATGGCACTTTATCCCTGAATACTTAAATTTGCATCTCCTAAGAAAAAAAAATCACCTATAGAACTACAATAACATTGTCACACCTAAGAAAATTAACATTAACTATTATTAATTAATGATTGTATAGTATTAACCAATAATGGAAATCTTTTTAAAATTCACATAAAGGTACCATATGAATTAACAGGGGGTTATATTTCTCATATAACAAGCAATTGGGAGATAGGCAGCTACCTTGACAAGGTCAGGTCCAATGTCTCTATAATTCTCTTGGTCTTTTCCTCATGCTTACTGCTTCAGGGTCCAAGAGAGCTACTCTAACTGTAGGCCTCACATCTTCATGTAAGCCATAAAGAAAGATGCTGGCATGGTATTAGCCAGGTCTGCCCTTTGTATCAAGAAAGCAGACATTTTCCCAGAAACTCTTCTATCGGATTGTTCCTCATCTCATTGGCCAAGACTGAGTCCCATGGCCATCACCAGCAGCAGAGGAAGCTAGAAAACAGTATAGTTCGATCATAAGTGGTTCCGACTAATTATAATTTATCACCTGGGGTTCTGTTGGCAAGAAGAGAGGAAAAATTATCTGTATTAACAGGCAATTAATCATGTCTCTCCCAGGGAGGACCAAACAATGACAATTCCAGCCACTGGTTCTGTACACAATATCACACCTTCCCCCCAGCTCCCCCTCTCTCTAACTCACTGCCCAACCGGACCTCACGTCAGGGTTTACCTTTTATACACAGGGACTTACCTCTTGTCTATTCAACATTAATTACTGGTATAACCAGATGTGCTGCTTTGGTTTTAGGATATAGAAACCCTTCTGATTTCACTTTAAGGCTTTTTTTTTTAATTAATTTTTTATTTTTGGCTGCATTGGGTCTTTGTTGCTGCGCGCGGGCTGTTCTCTAGTTGCGTCGAGCGGAGGCTGCTCTTTGTTGTGGTGCGCGGGTTTCTCACAGCGGTGGCTTCTCTTGCGGGGCACAGGCTCTAGGTGCTCGGGCTTCAGTAGCTGTGGCACGTAGGCTCAGTAGTTGTGGCTCGCAGGCTCAGTAGTTATAGCTCACGGGCTCTAGAGCGCAGGCTCAGTAGTTGTGACGCATGGGCTTAGTTGCTCCGCGGCATGTGGGATCTTCCCCTACCAAGGATCAAACCGGTGTCCCCTGCACTGGCAGGTGGATTCTTAACCACTGCGCCACCAGGGAAGTCCAAGGCTTTTTTTTTCCTTTTTCACAAAAAGGACAAAAAGATTTTTAGTGTTTGGCATCTCAACTGTAAGGACAGGAGGTGTGGGCGAGATATAAGTCTGACGATTTTGACTCTATAGCCAAAGAGACAAAGGAGGAGTTAACTCTATTCCTAGAACAGTCTTTCATGCCAGTAGGCAAGTTTGTCTTCCCTTCAGCAAAGATTAACTCATGGCCAGAAGTGGGCAAAATAAATAGTTGAAGAGATTTATTGTCTCTTTTTCCTGCCCTGAAAAGTTAAAACTGCCTTCATCCACAGAGGGCAGTGTCATCCTCACTGAGTCAGCTAACACAAATGAGCTCCTTCAACAAACTCTCTTATCTGTCTTGCTTGTTCTTTGAACAAGTTCTCAGCACAAGTTCTGAGTCATTTAACAGATCAGCTGAATAAACACATATGTGTATTCAGTCTAAGACATGAACAATAAAGTGATCTGGGGGTGACCTGGACCTGTTTTTTTTCTTTGGGCTCTCATTAGAAAATACAAATCTGGCCTGTAATACTAATATGAATCTGCAGCCTCAACATTTCTGCATTTGCTGGCAGGACTAGCTCCATATATACCAACTCCTCAAGTTCTCACCTAGGTTCTTTGTCAATTCTTTTTCCCCTTGGAATACTCTAATTAGTGCTCAACTAATAGATGTTCCACCAACTATCTGGAGTGTCTTGAATTCTTTCTTTTGTCTTATCAGCTTAGTATTTCCATTCAGGACATTTTATCTCTGTGCAAAGACAGGAGTAGAAGCTGACGAGTGGATCAAGATATTACGCTGGAAGTTGGTGAGTCATTCATGTCTCTGGATACCTAGTACTCAGAAATCACATGTTGATGATTTCAAACATATTTCTATTGAAAGAGTCAGACAACCCCCGAGAACGGACGGGAGGTCTACTTGTAGACTTATGAAAGAGTCTGTTCATTCTTCTGGGATGTGGAAGGGATGGAGAAAGGAGTAAAAGAAAAAGAACGAAGATGCACTGGGGTCTCAGGCCCAGAGCCTAGCCCCGCACCCTGGTGTCTATCAGGCTTCCTTTAAGTGTGTGGGCTGGTCCACATTTGCCTGGAGGAGAACATGTGGGACCAGAGGCCAGACAGAGGAAAGCAGACATATTTCTATAGTAGAAAATCCTTTTATTTTGTCAGAGGAGGAGGCTTGCCAGAGAGACTTAGCTTAATGTCCAGTGTAAGCGTTACTTTGTGCCAGTCAAGGACCAAAGGTGTGTTAATTTATGTTTTCTATGTACCTCCCAGGAGGAAGACAAAGGGCTTATAAGAATTTACTAGTCTCATGCATTTTTTGTGTGTTTGCAAATTAGTGAGTTGTTAGCCAAGAACTTGTCCTTAAAGCTTTCTCAAATTTCCTATAAATACCATCTTGAAACCCTTCATGTTTTCAACTATAGACAATTATTCCTAATTTTTAAAATGAAATTAGCTGATATATACAATCTTATTGAATATTCCTTTCTAAATACTGGGATTTTTGCTTTTGGTTATCTTTTCAGTTTGAGATCCAAAGCAATATACCACTCATTCTGAGACAGTTCCAATGTATTTGATATTCAATGGGGAAATACTCTGCCATCTGAAGCTTTTGCTCAAATATGCATCATTTTTTATTTCTTCTATTTTGTAATTATGCAAGTGACAAAATCACTACAGAAAATTTAAAGTAAAAATATATCAAATGCACATCCTTTCAGACTTCTCCCTCTGCAAATAAATATTAAAAACAAAATTTCATCATTCTGCAGTGTTCTTTACTTGCTAACTCCACTTAACAATATATCATGAACATCTTTCCAAATCAATAAATTTAGATCTATATTTTCATTTTGATTCGTTGAATAGTATTGCATTTTATGGATTACTAAAAGTATTAGGCCAGTTCCCAATTTGTGCATGTTTTAGCAACCACTTTACCGTATAGTCTCCTGAGAAAAATACAGAAAACCAGAATAAAACTTGGGGAGGAGGGGACGTGATAATTAACTTGTAGTTGCACGGTTTTCTTACTAGTCAGCATTTCTTATTTAATATTTGTTAAAAGCCAAAGTTTGTTATCTTAAAGTTGCTCAATAATAACTACACGTGGGTGTGCTTTCTTGCAGTCTCAAATAAGAAAACAGCTTCATCAAGGGGAAGGCACAATCCGATCTCGGTCATTCATCTTTAAATAGACAGACCTTCCTCGATGAGGGATGCCCTGACCCAGGAGCAGGGTGGAATGTTCCTGATGTTGTGATCCACAGCAGGTCTCAGATGAAAGCTAAGATTTTTCTGTAGAAACAAATCAAAAGCAGATGCGGATTTGGACCTCTCAGAAGACACCACATTTGCTGACTCACAGAAAACTGCTGCCCTTCAAGATCCTGCCATGTCCCTGAGAATACCGAAGGCTCTTCGTTCTGATGGAGACGGCTGAACCACTGTGACCAGGCGTGCTCGATCTTAGAACACGCGATGGGAGACGGTTTTTGTTTTCCCTCATTGTTGTCCCCAAGCTGGTTGACATTAGTCACCCAAAGTCCCACTCTGCACCTGGGTCAACTCATCTGACTTCCACGTTGTGCTATTATCCAGGAAGGAAACAGCTATATATGTAGCCCGAGGTTTAGACTGCTTTTCAGAAAGTGTATTGGGATAGCAAATGTCCAAGATTGGGGCAGAGGAGCAGTGTTGTTTTTACTTTTTTCCCCCTTTATACAAAAAACAAAACAATTTCCAAAACTAAAATGGAAAATGTTTGTAGTATTTATTTTCTCTTTGTAAAAGGCTCAGATATCTACCAGGTCCTTTCTTCCCCTCTAATGATAAACCTGTGAGAACTAAATCTCCTATGGGCTATTGGGTAAGATGGTAAGGATAATGGAAGGTACAATCTTAAAAAAGCATCTCTTTTAGTCGTTTTGGGGGAAATGCTTTAAAGAGTGAGAAAACATAAATTGAGGAAGAGTGATAAAGTAGTAACTTGTAGTTTAATAATAATTATCATGATATTATAACAATAATAGAGCACTTGTAAGCACTAAGTTATCTTCATCCAACACTTCTCAAACAGACTGAAACTTTCCAAGTAGAGTGTGTTATAACAATCCCTTCCCCAGAGTGAGAGGGAGGTATTTGCCCAAGAGAAGAAAGATGTACCTTGCACTGCACGGAGCACCCTACGCCTTATTCAAGAGCAACTTCTTTTGTCTATTGAGGGAGTAACACTAAATCCACATGCAAAGGGTAATGTTGTGTTTGTTACACAGCATTTTCAAGCCAGAACAAGGGGATTGAAATAGGGGGATGAGATACTGGCATCCAGAGCTCCTAAACAGATTTTTAACCCCTTCTATTATCTTTATTAATACTGCTTTTTTAGACTGAAGTTTGAAGGGAGACAAAAGTGGAGGAAGAGCCCAAACAAAAAGGTTGTGGAGCAAAGCTATGATATGACGCTGCTCTTGCAGTCCAAAGGGCTACCTTGTTGAATACGCTTCTTCTGTTATTTAAACATCTAGGACTCAGAAATTACATTAAATTTTTGTATGTTTCAACAAGGTTTTTATGTATTTTGTAATGTTTGTATCATACGGAATAAAGCAAATGTCAAGTTAAAATGTATTTTGTCAGGCTGCCCTGGTGGCGCAGCGGTTGAGAGTCCACCTGCCAATGCAGGGGACACGGGTTCGTGCCCCGGTCCGGGAAGATCCCACATGCCGCGGAGCGGCTGGGCCCGTGAGCCATGGCCGCTGAGCCTGTGCATCCGGAGCCTGTGCTCCGCAACGGGAGAGGCCACAACAGTGAGGGGCCCGCGTCCCGCAAAAAAAAAAAAAAAAAAAAAAGTATTGTGTCAAGTTTGCAAAGTAAGGAGTTAGACATAAATCTTCACTGAGACGTACAGTTTTGTTTTCTTCGATCCAAGGGTGTTGTGTAGGTAACATTGTTTTTATTTTTTGTAAAATATGTTTATTTACATTCTTTGGTTATGTTTATTAAAAACAGCATGATTTTGCTGTGCCTGTAATATTTTGCTATTAAAGTGTTTTTAATAACTGTAATTTAAAAGAAATATAACCAATTAATATCATAAATAGCAATGAAGAGCCCACTTTGGTTAGACTATGAGCTACAAAGGATTGCAAGATTCAGAGTTGAAGAAATAGTCCCCGTCCTCAAGGAGTTTTCAGTTGAATATGGAAAAGATAAGAAATACATCCACGACGACATATAGAAGTAAATACGATAAATACTGCAAGTGAGGCACACAAAGCTATATGATGGAGTGGGCTTCAGCTGGGATAAAGCCATTTTTTGGAGGGTTTTGACATGAAAAGGGCGATCTAACATATACCATGCAATTAGTACTACCCCAGATGCTTTACCTGCTCTCGGCAGCCCTAAAAAGTGATCATTTCACCCCAAGAGATCTCAGGGAAGGGCCCTAGGACGAAGGAGGATGATTCGTGCCAAATCGGAGTGGGGTTGTTTGGGAGAATAGCTGTCTGTGTCAAGTTCTGTCGCTAACTGTATGTGCTCATCATAAAGTACCACAAGACACAGCCGAAGGATTAGCAGTTATTCTCAGAATCCCCCCAACCCCGGGAAAATCTTGCCCCGCAGAAGCACTGCTGCCTCTGGACCAGGGGAGCGCCCCGCTCAACGGTAAGATGGCTGTTACTGCCTCGGAGGGAAACCCGTCCCTATTCCTGGGCCACTGGACAGGAGGACACTCAGCAGGCCACAGGCCTCTCTTCCAGCCCAGGGCACTCGGGAGACTGGGCTCTTTGGTCCTTCCCTCTCACTCACGCTCGGGGTGCAGGTCAGGGAGTTATACTGAGTCCCTGTTTCAGGCAGAGAGCAAGAGAATTATTACAGGGTGAATATAAATTCTACTTCCCTCCTCTACTGCTACTTCAGGTCAACTGCAGCAAACTTGTAGTTTTGCCAAAGTCTTCTCAGCCACGTTGAGCCTACACTCTGCTCACCACGATTCAGGCTGTCTGGGCATGACGTTGAGCAGAGCTTCTGAAATTATCTGTGGAAAAGGGCCAGATTTATTTTCTTTTAAAATTTATTTTCTATCACAGACTGGGAATTTGTAAAATCCAGTAAGTTATTAGAACACTGAAATAAAAATACAACTATCACAATCCCAGTTTTTAAATCAAATTCAATAGACATAGTATGTCTGCTGTTTTTTAAACCCTTAACCCTCAACTTCTGTAACTTATTTTGTACTAACAAACAGAACAGCCCAGTCTGTGGACATTTCAAGTAGGTCTGGCTAGTGGACAGCCACGTAAAATAAAGCAAGAGCCTTCTTGAGAAAGAATTCATCCTGATGCTGCTATGAAGGTATTTCATAGATGTGCTTAAACATCTACAATCCCCTGAATTTATATAAAAGAGGTTATGCTCCATAACATGGGTGGGGCTCATTCAAGCAGTTGAAAGGCCTCAAGAGCAAAACTGGGGTTTCCATGGGGAAGAAATTCTCCCTGTAGACTGTAGCCTCAGCTCCTGCCCAAGATTTTCCAGGCTTCTGGCCTGCCCTGCAGATTTGGGGCTTGCCAATTTCCAAAATCAGGTAACCAGTCCCTTGAATTAAGTCTAATTCATGTATATATCCTACTGGTTGTTTTTTGGTGAACCCCAAGTGATACAACTTTCTTTCCCAAATACCTCATCACCATTTTATTATAAACTTTGTTGTTTGCTGAAATATTTTATTTAGTTAATTTTATCACTTTTGGATAGTTAACAACTCAATAAAGTTTACAGTGAAAAGGGTCACTCCTGGGAACCCTGTCCCCCAAATACCTAGTTCCACTCCACAGAGGCTACTCACGTTACCACGTTCTGTGCATCTTCAGAGATACCTATCATACACAAGCAAATATGAACATACATCTATATTTTTTCTTCCTATACATAAGTTGTAGCATAGCACACAGTTTCACACCAT